CCTTGACGCTTCCCACTCTCCTCAGCGTGAATTGCCAACTAGGCAATTGCTAAAATTATTTACACGCGGTAGCAAAAGATGCTCAAGGTGAGAAAGGGGAGCCAGCCTGGTGGCCCAGCTTCATAGTGGCTGCAAGGGAGAGCTCCTGCCTTCCACTCGAAGCTGGCTTCAGGTCCCTTTATGTACGCACAATCAAGGCCAGACCAGTTACTGGGCTTGCATAAGGTCACTTCCCAGGTCTCCTGATCTCAAGCCCCTTCTTCCAGGCAACTCCCAGAGCTACCCACATTATCTGGGATGTGAGCCTTTCTTTGATGACAGTGATCAGACTTGACATTGAGTGCCCAAGACATTGAGTGAGGAGGGGTTCCACTGGTTCTTGACTTTCTTTGGCTGCACAGTACAGTCACCTGGGGAGCTTTTGAGAAATTCTGATGCCCACGCCCCACCCCTAGAGACTCCTTGTATTGTCTGGGGGTGGGGTCAGGCATCAGTATTTTTTAACTCTTCCTACTGTGACTCTTAATGTATAGCTGGGGCTGAGGGTCTCTGCTCTGAGTAGCTAGAATGGCAAGACCTTTGGAACCAGCCAGCTTGAGGTTAACATCTGGGCTCTGCCTCTGTGTAATGCTCAGCAGGCCACCTAACCTTGGCCTCTAGGGGACAGCTGCTGTTTTTAACCATCTCTGGCCAACAGTACTCTGGCAACACCATTACATCCCCATTCTCAGTCCTTGCTGTACTGTGGCCCTGACCCAGTGTCAGCTTCAGGTTGGGCACATGGTCCAGACCTGGCCCATCAGAACCTTCCAAACTCCTGGCCTCTCAGAGACTGGGTCAGAGATGGGCACGTGGTCCAAGTTCTTCTTCTGGATTATGGAGAAAGAGAAGCAACTTTCCCTGGAGTGTATGTGGGGGAGGGGTGGCATCTAGTGGGAAGAAAACCTGAGCGTGAAACCCACTGAGGAAAACAGGTTCCACCCCGGCGAGAGCACTGGAGGCTTGAACACGGCTTCACCTGTAACCAGCCTATCTGGACTTTGCAGTTACATGAGCCAATAAACTTCTGTTTTATTCTGAAGCCAAGTTTGAGTTGTTCCTGTTCCTTGCCACCAAAAAAATCCTAATCCACATTGTGAGCTTCATCTACAAAACAGGCCATAGACTCAAAATGAGGCTTAAATAAGATAATCTTCCATAAAGTTCTGAGTGAACAGGCGGCACTCCACAGATTTTTTTACTGTAAACAGGAGTAGCAAAGGCTAAGTACAAAACGCTTTTTTAAAGGACCATCGTGCCCTGCTGCCAGCAACTTCCCCATAACGTTTAATTCTCCAGCTGACTCTTGCTAACCAGATGTAAACACAGGACAGAATAAGGCCATATATTTTAGAGCTGCTGACAGATGGCAGTGGAAACACTCCAGCAGACTGCAGCATTAGGTGGCAGGAGGCAGCACACACAGGGACTGATTGACTTTCTGCCTGACTTGCAGGGACACTCATTGGTCCCAGCGTCTGATCACCTACCCTTTCCTGTATCTTCCACCTCTGACCCTTTGCTGTCGTTGGGTGCCATCAGGTCGATTCTGACTCATAGCAACACTATATGACAGAGTAGAACTGCCCCATAGGGTTTCCTAGGCTGTAATCCACGGGAGCAGATCGCCAGGTCTTTCTCCCACAAAGCTGTTGGTGTGTTTGAACCCGACCTATCGGTTAGCAGTCGAGTGCTTGTGCTTTAGCCACCCCCAA